GGTGGTCCATCCAGCCGAAGCTGATCATTAGAGACCCTCAATACACAAAGTAAAACAAAACAAAAAAGAGTACAAAGTAATATACTGTAAATAACAACCTTTCAATTCAAAATTAACATAATGAATTCGAGGCATGCAGACGCCATTTTGTCTACTAACTACAGAACTTTATACTGTAGCTCTCCTGGATTCGCGACTGGAATACAAAATATTAATTTTCAATATACAAATAGATAACATTAATTTCATTTTGGCCTTAGTAGTTCTTAAACAGTTAAATACAAATATACATATATTAAATACAAACTTATAGATAAGAATACTTACAGATGAACATAGTAATCTTTACATAATAATTATTTACCTTTAATTTTTGCCAGATGCTCTACAAATTAGTTGAAAGTTGTTGTCTGATGTGCGATATTTCCCACCCGCCCCTTTTTATCATTTAAAAAATTTACAAATGAAAAAATTAATGTGATTTCATCTAGTGTTGTAAGCAAGGATTTATTTGTTACTGTATATTGGACTCTAAAGATGGTTTTTATCATGTACCCGTAGCCAAAGACCATGAAACGTACGTATGATTTCAGTGGAAAAAACAATATTATTGTTGGACAAGGATTCCATTTGGTCTTGCATCACCATAATTTTTTTGCAAAAACGTTGAGGCCAGTTCTTACCAATGTGCATACACGGGGGATACGCACTGCGCTGTTCGTTGATGATTGGTTTTTGACAGCAGATCGCAATAAAGAGTTGAAACAATTGCTTACCTACGTAAACATCCAGTTCAGACGCATCTACAACAGGTTGGGCATCGTGGATAATAATCAATCATGCAGCAGGCTTTTGGAACAGAAGACTACAAAATATGCCTTCCAACTAACAAGAACTGAGCGCTGCGCTGATGGCACTTTTCTACAAAGGGAAATCAGTACATATAGTATCAGATAATATTTCCACAGTAACATACCTGAATCACTTAGGCGGGCCTGCGAAAGATCTGGCAGACATGACAAGGCAGTTTGGTCCCTAGCATTTCACAACATTCATAAATCCGCCAAAAATTTAACAGGACGAGAAAATGTGGAAGCCGACACTTTCAACATTGAACCTAAGATACGAATGGAGGCTACATACAATATTGTTCCAATAGCTAGATGAAATGTGGCATCTGCATGCATATTCTTCCTGCAGTACACAGCAATATAGATTTCTTTTAGCCAATCAGAACATAGGAAACCATGATGACGTGAACACGTAATCGTTCGCTCTGATTAAAAAAAAAAAGTTGTAATATAGATTTCTTTTAGCCAATCAGAACATAGGAAACCATGATGACGTGAACACGTAATCGTTCGCTCTGATTAAAAAAAAAAAGTTGAGTATGGATCCTTTTTGTGTGGGTGAGGATGATCAGTCCAAAGTATCTAGTAGTCTACTCTGTGCAATGACAAACAGGTATTGACCGTCTAAGAGAACCTAAGATTTATGATGTAGCCTACACAAACGAGAAACAAAACATCATCATCATTTTCCCAAACTACTAGGCAAGCCTATAGTCTAGGCTTAGCTAGTCTACTACTACTACTACCGTATTACGCTAGCCAGGGACTATGGAATGGAAAATCCTGGATCCGCGCCTGGCATGGCCTACTAATGTGTGAGATTATCATCATCGTTTGGTGGTACTGTACATTGATGAGCATGTGATTGATCAATTTTGTTTTTTTAATTTGGGGAGCATCGGCAGTCTCTCTGCCCTCATCCTTAAAAAATAAGGCTTCAAAACTAGTCATTGGTCCTTTAATTTTCCCTCTTCCTCTCTGTTCTATCTATCAATACAAGGTTGTTTAATTTTCTTGTGCACCAACTGCATATTTCCACATAATCAATTATAATATTACTCTACATTCAATAACTTAACATTTTTCTAATGCTTAACTAACTCAAAAACTTATAGGGTCCCTTTTTTTTTCGCCACATACATAGCCTATTTTCTTTACCAAGGAGCTCAAAATACATAATATTTTTCTTAAGAGCACTTTGCAAGAAAATTCAATTACTACTACTAGTACTAAGGTACTAGGCCTACATACCAATGCATATACACCACCACATAGTGAATCAAGCCTATAATAATCAAGCCAACTATATGATAGTTGATAACGGCGTAAAACAACCTACTGGTTGGCCTATAGTAACCAGTGCTGTTAATAACCTATACGTTATTGATAGTAACTCAATGCTTTTTTTTAATAACCCATCATATAAATAGTAAGCTAGGGCACTTAATTAATAAGCCACCCTATGAATTGTAACCCAGTGCTCTCTTAATTGCCCACCCTACTATTTAAACATGCAAAAGCTTTCATTTCACCCTTCTGCAAAACGAAAGTAGCAGCGAGGTTAGGCTTCTGATTAATTCTTCATGAGTATGTCGGACGTCATCGTGGGCTTCCTATGTTCTGGTTGGCTAAAAGAAATCTATGTTGCTTATGTGTACTGCAGAAAAAAAGTTTGTGGCCCGCATACAGTGGATCGGTCTTGCAACACTCAGCAATATGCAATTTGCCTCATTAAAACAGCAGGTTAGCAGATCTGAGGGAGTCAACACACTAGCGCAGCAGAATTGGGGTACAGAAAACAATAAACATTAACCACACCACTGTGGCCAGTAAACATATGGTTTCAAACATTAAAACAACTATAAATTGCAAAACCGCTAGTTCTAAACCAAATCGCAGCACACAATGTGTTTAACAGGACCAATACCAGAGCTGGTAAACATCCTGAAATGTCAACTTAAATATATACAAAGATATTGAGTGATTTTTTGGAAAAAAATATATAAGCTCATGACCACCCATCGTATTATTCTACAGTAATTCTCTTTTTAAAAATGTCTCAAGACAATAATAACTCCCTACAAAAACTTTAAAGCAAGGTACCACCTCATTGATAGACATGAAAATGTGGTATTTGCATCATTTCGCTTGCAGCCTATTAAGGATTATTAATATTTTTCTCTTCTTATCTAGATACTGTTATCAAAAATTATCTACTCAAAAGACAAAAAAATTTGTGCTCCCGTGTCAACCGGTTCACACCAGCTACTTTACGTACATTATACCAAGTAGATATTGCCAATATGTTTACTGATCTGGAGCTACTGAAAAAAAATAAGAAAGAAGGAAAGCCAGTAACATTACACGAGCTTTTAGATGTTATCAAATCCACACCAGCATGTAGAACTCTCATAGAAGGTGAAGGTGGTATTGGCATATCAACTCTTCTCAGGTACTTAGCATACAACTGGGCAAATGAATCAGATAAAACATATGAAGGTAAAATTGTGTTTCTGATAAATGTCAGAGATATTGGGAGAGGTGAGGATATTTTGGATGTAATTGTGAAACAAAGTAATCTAAAGTATTTTGAAAGGAAGACGAATCTTCCAAAAGATCCGATGTTAATAACAAGGTTCATAATACACCATGATAATGAGATTGTATTCTTGTTAGATGGATTGGACGAATTGGAAGATGGAAATGTATGTCCAATATTAAGCCTTTTTAAAAAAGAGGAGTTGGAAGATAGCATTGTAATACTTACATCTCGATCAGAAAACATAAGTGAATTTATTAAAGAGAACAACGTTCATGTGAAAGTAAATGGGTTTAATATTAAGAATATAAAGAAGTATATTAAGAAACACTTTGATTACTTTGATAAACCTGAACTAGGAGATTCTCTTGCCAAAGAGTTGGAACTAACTGAAAAATGGCCCTGTAAACATCGAGAAGTATATTCAATGTGTAAGAATCCAATGTTACTACTCTCAGTATGTACTATGTGGGAGGACAAGCAGGGTCTTCCAACTAATAAAGCTGATCTTTTTAAAGAGGTTTTTCGCAGCATTTTGAATCAGTTCAACAGACAAGAAAGTAATGCCCCAAAAATCACTAAATTCAGTGATACTCCCATTGAGTATGTACATGCAATGCTTATGTTAGGAAAGTGTATGTATAAAAGTTTAAAGAAAAACCAACTCTCGATAAACAGTAGAGATTTAGAAGGAAAAAAAGAAATGGTTTTTCTGGCTTTAAAACTAGGATTTGTCTACCTAGATGAACCACATTCAAAAACTGAATTTGAACAATGTTTTACAGCTCCTCACAAGTTGATAGCAGAGTCATTGGTAGGATTTTACATTTCAGAACTATGTCAGACAGCAGGGTTAGAGAATGAGTGTGCAGGGCACTTAAAACAATTACTTACTCCATTGGATGAGGATGAATGGGAGATTATAAGAGAAAGTGAATATTTACAAATGGCAAGAACATTTACAATACAATTCCTTGGTGCTAATGTCGGAAAATTTTTTATTCACTGGTTGACAAAAGATCTCACAACATATCGCTCACTAATGAAGAATTATTTTATATCTGTGAAAGCAGGCCACCAGGTTTTCGTTGAAGAAGCACTAATTGATCACATGACCAAGACACAATTAAAAATAAAACCACATGTCAATGGCATATGTAAATCACTTATGAGATATATTCATCATATTAATCCATCTTTAGAGGTATTTGAAGATGAGCATTTTATTAAACTTACGAGAATAATTTATGACATGAAGCTAAGGCCATCAGTTACACCACCTCGTTTTAAAAGATTATGTAACAAAATGTCACCTGAAGAAAAAGGCAAAATGCTCGCTCACATACTGTTTGCTATACAAGATGAAACTTATATGTTAGAAAATATTATCCCTGAAGTGTGTTCTGATGATGATATTAAATACCTAACAGCTGAATTTCAGAAACTTGATTTGCATTATGATATTGGAGTTTATGAAGTATTTAAGAAAAGTTCAATTACTGCTGTATTTTTATTTCATCTTTTGACTAATTCACCAAAACTTAGAAGTCTGACCTTAAGGTCTTGTATTACAGGTGATGTTATGAATGATGTGAGCAGAGAGCTTTCAAGTAGAGGGATCAAGTTAGAATTAAGGTCTCTTAATATCAATGATAATAATCTCAGTACAATTAATGGTACTTCACTGGCTTCTTTAATGTCAGTTACTCCACAACTGGATCACCTTAATTTGAGCAACTGTAGTTTAACAGGTGATATTATGAATGATATGACCAGAGAGCTTCTAAGTGTAGAAGCCAAGTTAGGATTACGTTTCCTTAATGTCAATGGTAATAATCTTAGTACGACTAATGGTGCTTCACTGGCTTCTTTAATGTCTCCACAACTGATTGAGCTTCAATTGAGCAACTGTAGTTTAACAGGTGATATTATGAATGATATGAGCAGAGAGCTTTCAAGTGAAGGGGTCAAGTTAAAATTAACATTTCTTTATGTCAATGGTAATAATCTCAGTACGATTAATGGTGCTTCACTGGCTTCTTTAATGTCTCCACAACTGATTCAG